CACTCAACCACTGAGCCACCCAGGCGTCCTTCTTTTGTTAGTTTATATTTGCATTCTTAGTGTTATCTTCCATATGAATTTCTTAGTAGGAATCTTTTGAAGCCACTTGCCCATTTTGTGAAGGCTGGCTCATTTAGCACTCTATTTTATAATCCTCATAATCCCGGTTGTAGTTTAGAGTTAGCCAGAGAAGTTTGTGCCCACATAAGTGGCAATCCATCATTTCAATGCACTGGAAGTGACTGAAGGACACATGTCAATGCCTTCCAGTTGTGGATGTCTCACTTTTTTCTGCAGGAAATCTCCATGTAACACATGACCACCTGACCAATGTATCCAGTGAAGCTGCCAGTATCAACAGCTGAGTTCACAGATTTATAAAAACTCTTCAGCTTTCTTATTATTTAAATTTTTAAAAAAGATTTCATTTATTCCTGAAAGACACAGAAGCAGAGGCAGAGAGCAAAGCAGGCTCCCTGCAGGGAGCCTGATGTGGGGCTCCATCCCAGGACTCCAGGATCACGACCTGAGCCAAAGGCAGATGCTCAGCCACTGAGTCACCCAGGCACCTCTCTTTATAATTATTATTTTTTTTTAGAAAAAAAATGTTATGAATATTCTTGTTTCATCCACCCCAGAGGGTGCACACATCAACTTTGGAAAGCACTACAATAGAGAGGGTCTGGGGACAAGATGGCTATTTCATTAAGGTTGAGAAGGGACAGAGACTCTGTGAAGTGACATTTAAGCTGAAACTCAAACGATGAGGTAGGAACAGCCATGCAAAAAAAGTGGCACGGGTGTATCAGGGAAGCAGAGGCTATCTGAGTACTATGGGAATAAAAGGTTTACTATAGCAATCAGACTTTTCACAGATGAGGAAGGATCTTTGGGTATAAAAGCCTGGGAGAGTATTCAGGGAATTGGAGAAAGATTCACTGATCAATCCTTCAGAAGCACTGGTACAGCTGAACAAGTCAGAGCTTTTAAGAAAATCCAAAAAGCCAAATCTGTTCAGCTTCCACGCTGGGACTGCTAGGGGCCTATAGGAAGCTGTTGCTTCTGTGTAACTACTGCCTCTGTGGGTGAACTTCCAAGTATTTGGTGGGGGGTTTGGGATCATAGTTAGTCACAAGGCCAGCAGTCATGAAGATGAACTGAACATGGAGGAGAACAAGGGCAAGCTGGAATCCTTGGGATAACACTGTGTCTGTCATTATACCTAATCAAGAGTAATGGCCATTTCCTCACTTCCACCTTCCAAATCTCACATAAGTGCCTCTTAGGTTAATTCTGACCTAGAACCACACACAGAAGAAGATTCTGGGAAAGAGAGTTCCCAGGTTAACCAAGCTGATATAGCATAATCCAGCACAAGAGGGAACACCATATGCAAAGGCCTGAGAAGGAAATGAATTCAGTATGCTTGAGAGAGAAAGGTAAGGCTGAGGCTCACAAATGAAGGGGAGGATGAAAGGAGCGTAGTCAGAAAAGCAAGCAGAGCATAAACTCACATAGGGCTTTATAGGCCCTGGTGTGTTTGATTTAAACAGAAGTTACACCATTTTAAGCAAAAATGGTATTCTATGAGTTGTGCTTTGAATAGTAAGGAAGCAAGATAAACATTGATTAAAAGTCACAGGAAGAAAAATAGGCTATTATAGTCTAGGAATGGGACAATAATGGTCTGGACTAGTAATATAAAAATGTAGATACAGAGAACTTGTCAGATGGGCTTTTTGTCTCGTTTTTCTTTTTTTTAAAGATTTTATTTATTTATTCATGAGAGACACAGAAAGAGGGGCAGAGACACAGGCAGAGGGAGAAGCAGGCTCCCTGCAGGGAGCCCAATTCAGGACTCGATCCCATGACCCCAGGATCACGCCCTGGGCCGAAGGCGGATGCTCAACCACTGAGCCATCCAGGCATCCTTGTCTCATTTTTCCAACATTTTTTTCAGTCCTTGGAGGGTCTCTCTTGTGTATGAGATGTGGAACCCTCTGTTGCAAGGAAGGTACCACAGAGGTTAAGTGGTCAGGGAAGGTTGGGACTGACACTGAGTACTTTCTATGCATCAGATGTATGCTGGGTCTGTTCCTCACAACAATCCTGAATGAGGAAACTGATACACAGGGAGGTTAAATAGTGTACCTGAACCAAAGTCATATAGATAATAAATGGTGGGCTTCTGATCTTAACCCACGTGTCTCCGAATCCAGAATCTTAGCTCTTGCCGCAGCATTCTGTATTCTCTCAGGTTAAGGCCCTTGTAGGTAGTCATGTCCACTGCTACCTGCCTAAATGTCACACCTTTCTGGCCAACTCTCAAGTGTACTTCAAATGGTCTTTCTACATTCTTTGTGTATTCTTAATCTTCTTAGTCCACACTGCATAATATTTCCAACCTAAGTTTCCTGGACTCTTAAAGAACTTATCCTATGTTTAGATCTCCACTGAGACTTTTTAATATTTAAATAGATATACTTTCAGGATATGGAAAAGAGTTAGGGCATCTTTTGTTTCCTGGGTGTATATCTCATTGGAATAGCATTATTGTTCAGAATTAGGAAATAAATTGCATTCTACATAATTCTTCAAAGTCAATGTTCCTATAATGCAATTGTCATATTTTCTATTGAAGTTTTTCTTCTTCCCCAAAGAGCTCTTTAAAGGACTTCTATGTCTTTATGTCAAGTATAGCCTATCTGACATAGAAGAAAATGAATAAGGACAGGTAAGAATTACTGTTAAACATTAATAGTTGAGTACATGTTCAAGACATTAAAAAAATCAATATTTGTTTTCTGATCAATGGTCTGTTTATTGATACCATTGTCTTTTAACAAAGAAAATATTTGAAAGTATAAGTTATATATGCTGCTACTGCTTTGAACTTAATAATTATTGCTTAGAGTATACATATATATATACATATATATATATAAATGATGAATGATTATCATGCCATATGTATTATGGGTACTTAGTCAAAGTGGTCTCTGGCTATTTGTTATATACTTTCCACTTTACTGTGAGACACATGGTAACTGGGTCACAAATTCAAATTACAGAATGTTTAGTTTTCAGGGGTTATAGGGTTTCACAATTGGATACAGTGCTGTTTGGATGGGGTCACCTCTGGTCAGCATTAAAAATCACATGCAGTGTAAGAAGTGACAAAATCTGGCAAAGTAGGTGTGAGTTTAAATTCTGGCTAAAGATGTCCTCTCCTATACGATTCACTAAACCTCCTCTCCAAGAGGGTTTCTAAGCCCTGTTGAAGTTCATTGGGCACCAGCAATACCTCCACTAACAGGATTTGCTGCTCCCTCTAGCTTTTGGTATTTTAAAACCCACCTTTCTTCATGAGAGCTGGTGTGGTAATTGATAGTCACAATACTTTACAAATTCTGAAACAGGTTAAAAGGACAATGAAATTTATTTTTATCTAAAATGAGTTTTCAAAAGGTATTTGATTTTCTTGTCAGACATAGAAAACTGAGGCTTGTCAGAAAGACTACTGAAGGAATTTTTGTACTAGGTGGGGAAAGGTTGGACACCAAAGCCCCTTCCTACTGTAAGATTCTATGATTCTAGGTATCCTGTATTATTTTATGAAAATAGTTTAGAATATCCAGTGTTTTAAACATGTTCTTCCTATTTGTTGGAGAGATCAAGTTAACATCCTGTCATAAGGCAAGAATGCTGCATCACCCCCTATTCCTGTAGTGACAATGGCCTGAAGATAATAAATAAAAGAGGTTACCAGGGGTTAGACAATATGGGCTAGCCAATGTAGCCAGATCCTTCTCTCAGGAGATGGTCTAGTTGCCCTACCTGTAAAAACTGCAACAGAGAAATTATTCAAAACCTAGTTTATGATCTACTAGGCATGGTGATAGATTCAAGGAAATAAACTGTGGCCCCCCCCCCTGCCCTCAAGGAGCTGACAATCTGGTTAGAGAAATAGAAAAAAAACATACAAAAAATAATTAGAAAAGAGTTATATGTTCACCTGTGTGGCACTGAACACAAACAAGCAAAATTGGAGTTTTAAGATAATTCAGGTGTCCAGAAGGTTTTATTTAAGAGGCAGGATTAAACTGAGCCAAAGACGTCAAACGAGGATGAGTGGGGAAAAGAGGCATGCCTGTGGAGTACTGGGTAAAGAGTGAAAAAGAGTAGACTCAGGAGTAGAATGAGAGCATGACCTGTGTAGCAGAGACAGACAATGAATTGTGGTAGGACAGTGAGGAACAGGCTCGACAGAAGCAAAGGTGAACAATAAAAAATAAAATGGTAAGCCTGGACAGGCAAGATGGAGTACCATGTCCTCAAAAGCTGGGTATTAGGTTCTGAAAGCCAGGTGCAAGTGTTTTTCAGTGGTGGTCCCCAGAAACATCCAGCATGAGTCTCTCAGATACACTTTGAGGCCTGTAGGCAGATTCAAATACAGATGCTGATGGCCATAGTAACTTGGTGAGATCCAGTTCAATTCCAAACTGCTTGGCCTACTAGCAGGTGGACAGGCTGGGGCTTGCTGATACGTGCCTCAGAATATTCTCTGGAAGCTGGAATTTGTGGCCTGGGAAGTGCAGGGCTGCTCTTCTAGGCAGCTGTTATGTGTGGGGATGTGACTGTGTATGGGATGTGACTGTGTATAGGATGTGTTCTGTGCACATTTGTCCAGATTTGGGTATTAAGATTGTGATTTTAAGCATGATGAAATTCAGTTAGTTGGCAGTGGAAGAACAAAATCAAACTATAGCCTTTAACAATTCTTAACATTTGGATTTTGAAAGCAATGTTCTAACTTTAATTACAATTTCACAATAATGCTTAAAATTTTCTAGTCAAATAAAAAGCTTATATATTAAGATGCCATCCCCTTTTGGAATTATTTTAGCATAATTAAAAAGAACCTTTTTAACACAAAGCACTTGGTAAAGTAGTTACTTATGTCATCTTCTTTTGATGAGGACGTTGAGATTTTTTAAGTTTTAAAACTTGCTTCTTTGATATTTTTCCCCTTTCTTTTGCTTTTTCTTTTGGCTGACTTATGAGGAGAAGGAAAACAAGAGTAATGTTTCTTTATCTTACCGTTTTTCCTTCCTTATATTGTATTTGAACTCTTCAGACTGTGGTGTTTTTTTTTTTTTTTTAATCTTCACTCTCAAAGGGGCTCCTTTTGATTCTCTCTACTTCACTGACCTTGAAGAGGAGGCCATAGCTTTCTAACTAGTCTTCTTTTGTCTATTTTCCTGGCTTATTACTGCCCTTACTCCAACTCTGCTTGTCTAAACTACAACCTTTTGAGGCTGGTATTATTATCATCCACTTTTCACAGAGGAGGAGACTAAGGCTTGGAAAAGGTGGCTTACCCAAAGTTGCACAGGAGGTATGTGGCAGAACCACTAGACCATCAGACTCCAGAAGCCAAGCAAGCTCCTGGCTTTGTTCTACTTTTCTACCTCAATCTCTTCACTCCCTTCACACAAACTCCAGCCACAATTCTTGAGGCTCCCTGAACACAGAAAGCTCTCTCATGAGTCATGAGTCTTTTTTATACTGTCCTTACTCTTTTGGTGAAATACTTAAACTTCAAGACTCTAATCATATGAAAAATTTTGCCTAACACTTTTCTCCTTGCTCTTCCTACAATCTTCAAGATTCTGATACATATCTTTATTTTATATTCCTCACATTGTACTATAATTAATTGTTAGCACATCTGCTATAGCAGGAAAGGACTATAGCTTATTACCTTTCCATCTTCAGTGTCTACCTTTTAATTCAATCCATATATATTGTACTGAATAAGAAAGACTAGCTCCCTCTCCTCATGGAACGCACTTCTAGTGCAGGACATAGATAAGTGATACTATATACAGGAATATAATTATACTTCACAGTGATGACATTATTCTAGGAAAAAGTAGGAGCACAATAATATTTTTAAAAAATTTATCCTTAAAGGAACTACATGGATTTCTTGTCTTCTAAAGTTAACTTATAAATGAAAGAAAATTTTGTTCCTCCTGGTCACTGACCTGTTTTTCCTGGTCTTTAATTAATTCTTTCACATCTGCTGAATCTGGGTTTAGACATGTTTGATGCCCATTATTCATAGTCATACTGCCAAGGAAAAAGCAACAGATTTTTTTAACTTTCAATAATTGAAATGTCTCACCTTAACCCCAAAATTCAATCCCCTAATTAGAATGTATTTGTGTCATCCAAATAAGCATCTGAGACTTCCAGTCTTCCTTCCTGTTTTTTTGGTGTTTTTTAGTGAATGATGAGACTTAGCTAAATTTCTAGGATAGTATACAACTCTAATTTTATTTTATTTTATTTATTGTGTTTTTTTTAAAAAAAGATTATTTATTTATTTATTCATGGGAGACACAGGGGCGGGGGCAGAGACACAGGGAGAGGGAGAAGTAGGCTCCACGCAGGGAGCCTGACGTGGGACTCGATCCTGGGTCTCCAGGATCACGCCCTAGGCTGAAGGCAGCGCTAAACTGCTAAGCCACCCAGGCTGCCCACAACCCTAATTTTAAAAATCGAACAGATATATGCAATGACAGTTTATGTCTACAGATAATACTAGTTGTATTGGTGTGTTGAAAACATTTATGTTTAAGTGAAGAACCAAAATAAAAAGTTATAAATCTGGCTATTTTTTCCCCAGAAACAATGAAAATCAGCATGAGTTTTACTACATTTTCTAATGAAATTCCCTAAAACATACAATGGTTTTCTAAAACATGATTAGCAGACTGATTGAATATTTTAAATTACTTATAGCAGACTGTCCAGGGATAATTTAAATTTTTTTCTTTCATTTCTCCATATAATCTGAGAGTAAGAATAACCATTTTATATATCAGTCTTAATTTAGGTTTCAAAAGACTGAAACTAGGAATTCTAATCTTCAAAAAGTATTTTTTTAAAGATTTTATTTATTTATTGAGACAGAGAGAGAGAAAGAGAGAGAGGCAGAGACACAGGCAGAGGGAGAAGCAGGCTCCACGCAGGGTGCTGGACGTGGGACTCGATCCTGGGTCTCCAGAATCACAACCCGGGCTGCAGGCGGCACCAAACCGCTGCGCCACCGGGGCTGCCCTTTGAAAAGTATTTTTAAGGTTTTATTTAAATTCTAATTAACATATAGCATATTAGTTTTGGATGTACAATGTAGTGATTCAACACTTCCACACAACACCCTGTGAAAGTTTATTATTAATAGGAAAGAACTAAAGACATAATATGGCCACAGTAGCAGTTTGATTTCAATAGCAAAAACTTGGCAATAATTTACATTTAGGCATTGCTCATATAGATTATGGTACATTCATATGATGGAATATAATTTGGCCATCAGGAATGACATTATTAGAAAAAATGGTATTATAGAAGATTTACTAACATGAGAAAATGTTCATAATATAGTGTTAATGAAAAAGCAGGCTAGAAAAGAGTATGTAGCCTATAATTTTATTTTTATGTTTATATATATATATATTATGTTTGTATATATATGCTGTGTCTGTATATATACACAGATGCAAATGAGGGAGATTTGGAAGACTATAGGCCAAGGGGTGACCAGTATCTGTCACTGGTGGTAGAAATATAAAGGATTTGTATTTTCTTCTTTTAATTGCATTAAATATTTTCTACATGCTTGGGGATATAGTATCCTTAGTTTTAATGTTTACTAGATATTCCTTGTTGTTTAGAAGAAAAGAAGTAGACCACACTTATGGAGGGACAACTATATGAATTTTAAGTGTCTATATAGGCAAGTGTTCTAAGGGTGATATTCACACTAAATTTGATGTTCTGCCAACATGGTGCATATATGTTGGATGAGTTTTTACTTACATGATTTCAGTTTTTTCACAAGAAGAGCTTGGGGCAAATTGTTTAATGTCCTTTAGGAATTTTGACTGGATTGTTCCTTGGCTGGTGGTGATGCAGGAACAGCGTCTATTCCTCATTATTGGGGTTCCTAAAAGAAAAAAGGTAGAACACATTGATTTAAGGCAATGTCTCAATTTAGGTGATCCATCAAAATGATACATTTGATTTAGTCATGATCATTACTGTCCTTTATTGAGTATGTTTGTTGGGGAATGTGATTTAAAAAAATCAAGTTACCACCAATTGACCTGTGAGCTGGACCTTGGCACTTGGGAGACACCTCTTCCTCTCCCCTGTCCTTAGAATGTGGGTTCCACTTGCCTTCCTGGCTCCCAGAGCCTGCTCCAAGGCCTTAGCTTTGAGATGGTGACATGATGTTGAAAATAACCTGCACTGTATACATGACTAAGCCCAATTAGGGCCTCTTTAAAAGTTTTTAAGATTTGGTGGGCGGGTGCAGGGATCCATTCGTTTTGTTGCTGCTCAAGACATATGCTGCACAAGTCTCAGATGTAAGTTCCCTTTGCTATTAGTAAAACTGCCGCCTACCAATCTGGAGTGGTCTGTCTCTTTTTTTGGTCTCTCCCTGATCTCTGAGTAAGGGGGCCAGTTTTAGATTATACTAAAAAAGCTCCTGAGAGAGTATGAACCTACGCTGTTAATCATTATCACAAACTTTTGAAAGAGGTATTATCTCCATTTTATAGATAAAGAAGCTAAGATTCAAAGAAAATGTTATGTAAAGAACAAAGTCATTCAGCATTTAGAGGGCAGGTGCAGGGTTTCAGCTCAGGTTTTTTTGAGTCCAAATGTATTGCATTGCTCTTAACTACCATATCTTATCAGTGTAGGAAAGGAGATTTACACAATATTTAATAAATACCAGGTCAGACACACAAATACCTGATTTCTGTGTGCTATGTGGGCCACAATTTCTTAAGCAACTCCCAAAGCCATTTATTGTCTGACCTTAGTAGAATGGAGTTGGTGTTGGTTGGGACAGAAAGCTCTACTCAGAATAACCAATTATAACCACCAACCTCATCCTCCCTACTGCCTTGCTTTTCAATAGTACTTTAAACTCTTAAAAACTTTTTGAAATATACTATCTTCATTCCTTAATTCTTTAATTTGTTCAACATACATTTACTCAGTGCTTATCATATGCTATGTGTTGTGTGGTAGGTAGAAAAAGCCTAATTATAAAATCTACATTTGGGGGATCCCTGAGTGGCTCCATGGTTTAGCGCCTGCCTTTGGCTCATGGTGTGATCCTGGAGACCTGGGATCAAGTCCCATGTCCCAAGGCTCCCTGCATGGAGCCTGCTTCTCCCTCTGCCTGTGTCTCCGCCTCTCTCTCTCTCTCTCTCTCTCTCTCTGTGTGTGTGTGTGTGTGTCTCTCTCATGAATAAATAAAATCTTTTATTAAAAAAAATAAATAAAATAAAATAAAATCTACATTTCACAGCTGAGGAATCACATCTAGAAAAGTTCAGTAATTTGCCCAAAGGTAGTAAACAGACCTCTCTGATTATTGGACCCTTAATTGGTTAATTACAGATATACTTACCAAGAAACAATATCAGGGTTACAAAAATAATTTAAGAGACAAACTCTTTGATCTCATTACCATCCAGTTCAACATTCATTGAACACTTACTACATGCTAGGAATTCACATACCTGGTCTGAGAAGATTTATGTTTGGCTTAGCAGGCCTCAGATATGAACTTTGGATAATGAATTACATCACTGAGAAGCTTTAATGAATTACTCATATCACTTTCTGATGTATGCAGTCAACTTTATTGGGCAAATCAAGAGACTTTTATAGCAATTTGCATCTCTGACTTTCCTATCCTAATGTAACTCAAAACCTCTTACCTTGACCTCCAATCAGAGTCAGGAAGATGATACTCAACAAAAGAGGAACACCACCTTTCTTCATATCAGTAGAATGGAGTTCTACTGATTCACTCCTGTATTGTATTTCAAACCTGAGAATTTCTTTAGAGAACATGCTCTTGGAATCATATTTATTTGGGAAGTCCACTTCCCTCCTAAATTCTGATGGGCTGGTGTTCTTGGCTGACTTAGCTAAACTGACCACAAACTTAACTGTGTTGGGGGAAACCCAACTCTCAGATCCAAGGGAATTTCTGCATGTTTTATTTCCATTTCACATAAATGGGTAGTTTATAGTAAGGATATGAAATGAGCATCATTGGCAGCTTTTAGCCCACTTGTAGCTGCTCACCTGGGTGAAGAATAGGTTACATAATAAATATAATATTATACAACAAGGGTTGGAGTATTGTTTCCAAATGGAAAATACTAAAGTCCAGATAAATAATATATTTTCCCAATACTTTTAATATTTACACAATATCCTTCTGTATAATAAATAGCTACATTTATTTTTTTCTCTATCAATCTTAAACAATCAGCATCTTAATTTCCCCAGGGACCAAGTCATTTTCTACTGTAAGCTCATTTTTAAAAAAATATTTTGTTTATTTATTTGGGGGGCAGGCAGAGAGCATGAGCAGGGGCAGGGGCAGAGGGAGAGTGAGAAGCAGACTCCTTGCTGAGCAGGGAAGCAAATATGGGGCTTGATCCAAGGACCCTGGGATCATGACCTGAGCCGAAGGCAGATGTTCAACCAACTGAGCCACCCAGGTGCCCCTCATTTTGTTTTTTTTCTATTACTGCTGCTGCAGTTTATTATTTTTTAAATGGCTAAACTAGTTAGTATAGAAAGCTTTGGAAAAAAAAGACAAATGAGACCACAACAAACTTAGAAATTTTTATACATCAAAGAAAATGATAAGAGTAAAAACAGAACTTATGGAATGGGAGAAAAAAATTTCAAATCACCTATCTGGTAAGGAGTTAATATCCAAGGAACTTCTGTACACAACAACAAAAAAACCCCACACAACTGGATTAAAAAGTGGGCAAAAACTTGAATAGACATTGCTCTAAAGAAAATATACAAATGGCCCATAAACACATGAAAAGATGCTCAACATGACTAATCATTAGGGAAAAGCAAATGAAAACCACAGCAGATATCATCTCATACCCATCAGGATGCCACTATCAAAAATCCAAAAAATCACAAGTGTTGGATGGAAAGGAGTGTGTAGCCATTATGGAAAACAATATGGAGTTTTCTTAAAAAATTAAAAATTGAATTACCATTTGATCTAGCAATCCCACTTCTGGGAATATGTACAGAGGAATATGGAGCAGGATCTTGAAGAGATATTTGCACATACATGTTCATATCAGCATTATTCAGAATAGTTAAGAGGCACAGCAACCCAAATGTTCATAAACATTTGAATGGATAAAGAAAATGTAGTATCTACATGCAGTAGATTATGTTCTCTTAAAAAAGGAAATTTTGTCAAATGCTATAAAATGGATGAAGCTTGAGGATATTATGCTAAGTGAAATAAGCCAGTCACAAAAGGACAAATACTCATATGAAAAATCTAAAGTCAAATCTTAGAAACTGAAATTGGGAAGGTGATTGCAAAGGGCTGGGGGAAAGGGTGAGGTGAAATTAATCCTTACTGGGTGTAGAGTTTCAGTGTCACAAGATCAAAAAGTTCTAGAGATCTGTTGTATAACTGAGTATACTAAACAGTACTGAACAGTACACTTTAAAATGGTTAAGATAAATTTGTTGTTAAGTGTTTTATTTATTTATGATTATTCTCTGTGTGTGAGACACAGAGAGAGAGAGAGAGACAGAGAGACAGGCAGAGGGAGAAGCAGGCTCTACGCAAGCAAGGAGCCCAAAGTGGGACTCGATCCCGGAATTCCAGGATCACACCCTGGGTCAAAGCAGGCGCAGAACCGCTGAGCCACCCAGGCATCCATAAGTGTTTTATTTTAACCACAATAATAAAATAAAAAAGGAGTAAAGGATCTGTTACATGCAATGTGGACCCAAATTAAAAATAACTAAAACAGAAGTGTATTTCTCCCTGACAGAGGCCGGTGAAACTAGGGTTGTTGTGTTTTTTTTTCCCCTAAAGATTTTATTTGTCCATGAGAACAGAGAGAGAGAGAGAGGCAGAGGGAGAAGCAGGCTCTATGCAGGGAACCTGATGTGGGACTCAATCCCAGTCTCCAGGATCATGCCCTGGGCTGAAGGCAGGCGCTAAACCGCTGAGCCACCCAGGGTGCCCTGAAACTAGGGTTTATACAGTGGTTCTCCTTCATTGTACTCTCCCAGGCTCCTTCTATCATCTGCTCTATTGCCACTGCTAGGTTGGTGTCTCCATGCACATGGCTCAAACGGGCTTGCCACCATGCCCACTTTCCAAGGACAGGATGGTGGGAAGGCAGAAAAAAGTCTTAAAATGTTCCTTAGTTTTAGACCTATCCTGGAAGTTGCTCTCATCACTTCCCATGGACCAGAATTTATGAGTATGGCCACACTAGCTGCATAGGAAATTAGGAAATGTGATGTTTATTCTGTTTGATCCACTAAAATTAGGAGGTTCCATTACTGCAAAACAACATTTCTTTTTTTTAAAGTTGTAATTTAAATTCCAGTTAGCATACAGTGTGATATTAATTTTAAGTATATAGTATAGTGATTCAGTATAGTGATTCAATAATTCCATACATCACCTGGTGCTCAACATGGGTGCACTCCTTAATCCCTATCACCTATTCAATCCATTCCTCACCCACCTTCCTTCTGGTAACTCTCAGTTTGTTCTCTATAGTTGAGTCTGTTTCTCGGTTTGCCTCTCTTTTTTCTCCCTTTGCTCATTTGTTTTATTGTTTAAATTCCGTTTATGAGTGAAATCATATAGGATTTATCTTTCCCTGACTTATTTCGCATAGCATAATATTCCCTAGTTCCATCCATGTTGTTGCAAATGGCAAGATTTCATTCTTTTTTATGGCCAAATAACATTCCATAGTATACATATACCTCATTAAAAAAATCCATCCATCACTTTATATAAACAAATAATTAATAAATAAGACTTTGTTGGGTAGGATTAAACTTTAGTGGGCTACTAACCAGTGTATTATCTAAGATCTTTTAAGTCAGCCCAAGGACCAAATTTGGCCCCTTGTGGGCAATCTCTTTCCTCACCCCTTTGAGAATGCATGTTGTAGGATAATGGGGAACAGGGAACATATATTACCATTTTCTGTAACATGGTGTACAGTTTTGGATGGAGTTTTAGATTATTAATGCACAGATATTCTTTGAAGAAAACTGTGGTGACCATTGATACAGCTTATTCACTCAGTTATGCTTAATCTTGGTAATGACTGTGGCCATGCATAGAGTGGAGTTGGCTTTAGGTCTCAGCTTTGCTACCTAATGACTGCAAAATACAACCACAAGCCTCAGTTCCATCTGCAAATAAAACTATGCCAACAAGTCATTGCCAATTGCAAAGTACCAGAAGGCTGGAGATAATTTTTTCTAGCAAAGAAAGGGAGATGGAAATTTCTTAGGATAAATACTAAGGTCCAGCATGGCTTGCCGTTGCCTACCTTTTGGACTCTTCCTGCATTACTCTGCTCCCACACCCCTTCTTCCGTCCATTCTTCAAAAGGGTCAATGCCTCCTTCCCATTGCGCTGTTTTTTGCTCATGCGGCTTCCCTACCTCATATGCTATGTCTGCTCTGCCTTCTTCCCCTACAGGCAGTCTTACCCACCTTAGACACCCAGGTTGGCATTTCCCCTGGCAAGGCCTTCCTGACCACCCCGCCCCCGACTCGTCAAGATCCCACATATGCTCTCACAGCGCCACGTGCGGACATCGAAGGCAATGACCTGCGTGTGACCTTCGCCGGCAATCCTGTGGCCCCATCTCCTTCGACTGCAATAGCAGGTTAGACTTTTGAGGATCCACGCAGGTCCCAGAGCCTGGCGCGCGCACACACACTCCCGGCCCGCCTCGACACCGCGCATGCGTAGCGCCGCCAGGCTCCTCCGGGGGCGGGGGACTGTCGGACCAGCGGACCTCCCTGGGGGCTGACGTGCACGCATTGCGCATGTGCAGACCGCCGGCTTCCAGAACTTTCAGTGGGGCCCGGCCAGGCACTGCCGTCGTCGCTCGTGCTGCCGCTGGCTTCCGTTGCTGCCCGCGCTGATTCCGCCGGAGGAGCACGAGGAGAGAAAGGTAGTGGTTGTGCTCGTTGGGATCTCTCCGCTCCGGCCCCCGGCCGGCCCGCAGACGGCTGACCCCGGGGATGCGTTTCCTCGAGGGGCAGCGGGGCCTGTGTCGCTGTTTCCACACGAGGCTCAGGTTGCCGCGCGGGAAGGGCTTGGTTACCGGGTCTGCGGCCGCTGGGCGAGGTGTAGGAGGGCCCTTGAGGTGTTCGCGTAGGAGAAAAGAGGTGCCAGGGTCCTGGGGCTTAGGAGCCCTGAGGCTCACCTTGTTTGTTTCTTCCTTCCTTCCTTCCTTCCTTCCTTCCTTCCTTCCTTTCTTTCCTTTCTTTCTTCCTTTCTTTTTTCTTTCTTCCTTCCTTCCTTCCTTCCTTCCTTCCTTCCTTCCTTCCTTCCTTCCTTCCTTCCTTTCTTTCTTTCCTTTCTTTCTTCCTTTCTTTTTTCTTTCTTTCTTTCTTTCTTTCTTTCTTTCTTTCTTTCTTCCTTCCTTCCTTCCTTCCTTCCTTCCTTCCTTCTTTCTTCTTCCTTCCTTCCTTCCTTCCTTCCTTCCTTCCTTCCTTTCTTTCTTTCCTTTCTTTCTTCCTTTCTTTTTTCTTTCTTTCTTTCTTTCTTTCTTTCTTTCTTTCTTTCTTCCTTCCTTCCTTCCTTCCTTCCTTCCTTCCTTTCTTTCTTCTTCCTTCCTTCCTTCCTTCCTTCCTTCCTTCCTTCCTTCCTTCCTTCCTTTCTTTCTTCTTTCCTTTCTTCTTTCCTTTCTTTCTTCCTTTCTTTTTTCTTTCTTTCTTTCTTTCTT